CTCTCTCTCTCTCTCTCTCTCTCTCTCTCTCTCTCTCTCTCTCTCTCTCTCTCTCTCATCTTCCTCCACACCACGCCCATGTTCTTGTTTACTAACCACCTACTGCACACTGGGCCTTGAAGAACCCCACTTCAGAGGCTGCAGACAAGCCATAACACTCAGGACCAGGCTCTGAGGCTCACACTGCTTGCTGCCCTCTGCTGGACTGGCTAAGGCTCCAGGCAGAGCAGCCTGGCTAGGAAAGGATGAACAGGTTTTGGGGTCAGCTTTGACAAACACACCCTGAATTTTGCTTTTGGAAATACAGAGAGAGGAGTAATGTTAGTAACGGTCGGGCACCAGAACTCAGGTGAAGGGGAGCATAATCCTGTCAGAGCTGTGGGCCTCTAAGGTCTTTGACCTCTGTTTCTCACTATGAGAACTAAGCCCCAAACCGCTTCCCCATCTACCTTTTTTCCTGCGGAGAGGGGTCTGCCCAAATCTGATTCCCAAAGCAGGTTTTCACAGTGAGTGAGCAGTCATAAACTTGGAAATAAAAGTGGTGGTCACACTGAATTCTTTGCTGCCGAGCTAACGTTGGCCCCGGGTCGCAAGGCTGAGTGCAGAAATCAGGAAGAGGGGTTTTTAAGACTGCACACATATCTTATGAATGCCAGATTTCATCTTGAGTGACAAAGGGCAAAGACTGTCCATGTCAACATCATGTGGACCAACTGGGGGCCACTGGGTCTCAGCCCAGTTCTCTGTAATATCTACGGTTTTGTGATAACGGAGTGGATGGGTTACTCAGAGCCAATGGCAGCACATCGAGGAGAGAAACTTGGCCTATACAAACGGAGGTGCTGAGCCCTCTGGTCCTCTGCTGAAGTTATAGGCACTTGTTCTGATTTCTGTGGGGTTTTGGGGTCCCTGTTGGAGGAGGGTCAGAGGCTTCTGTTCTTGTTCCCCTCCTACCTCAATATGCATACTCCTTGAGTTCTGCTCCTGGGGTTTCCAGACTGACCTGTGGGCCAGATACACCACCATCTCCAGGGGTGGGAGCTTGTTAAACTACTGTCCTTGTACCCTAACCCTAAGTCACCTATCCCCCTAATCCAGGGTGGGCCTACGAGTCTATATTTAGCATGTTTCTCCAGTCCAAGAATTCAGGTATTTCTCTCAACGGGCTTTCTGAAGTCATCAAGGGGAAGGTGCAAGGCTCCAGAGTATGACCTTGCCTGTGTAGGATACCATCTTAGATCCTGAGGTTTTAATGCTCAGGCTACATCCCAAACCCCCAAATCAGCATCATAAAAGGTAGGACCAAAAGCTTGGCCTGTCAGACCTCTTCTAGGTGATTCTGAATGAAGCTTCCACACACTGAGAGGCTGGCCTGTGCCCAAGTCATATCAGGAGGGACTTAGGCCTGAGTGAGTGATTCATAGCTGCCAGGCTGATGGACTTCGTGTAGCAGCAGGGTTATTTCTTCTAGTGCTTGGAAGGCCGGGGGAGAGCAAACTGCCCACTTGTGCAGACCAAACTGGGTCATCTGTACAAGCTAAACTCTGCCACTTCCTCCTTGGGAGCAGATGCTGGGCACTGGAAGCCCTTCAAAGGAAAGTACGTCAGGAAAAAACATTCTAGAGCACCCGCTCCTAAGGACTGGCTTCAAGGGCAGCCCCAGGAGGTAGGTTGCAAGGGTGAGCCTGGGCTAAGGGCAAGCTTGACTTGGAGAATCTGGGGTGTGCAGTCCCCTGATGCCAGTCGTGACACTGGCATCCTTGACCTTCACATGGAGCCGAGGGTGCTGGATGGCATCCACAGTCCAGCATCAGAGGCAGGTCGGGGAGGCGGGGACTGCTCATCAGTGACTTTGGACAGCTAGCCCACTTCCCAGTTCTCTGGCTGCCAATCCTCAGGCCCAATAGCAATCTGAGATGTGACTGCCGGGGAAAGGAGAAAGTCACACAGGTCCTGGCTGGCCTCTTTGCCAAAATGTCTAGTTAGCATGGCTAGGTGTGTGATACTCCCCATACAGGGGAGGTAAGAGCAAAGTGGAGATCCATCCTCCACCAAACAGCTGTGAACATGTGTGTCCAAAGCTGCGTGACCGTGATGCCTTCTTAAATAAAAAAAAAAAAAACACTAATACTTCTCCAGGCCCCAGGGAGGCTGGGTGCTCAGAGCCTAGGAACTGGGTCATAGCTACACACAGGATCCAATCTTGTTTCTTTTAGCTTCCTCCCTCTCTTCCTCCCTCTCTTTCCTTTCGTCTTCACACTCCCTCTAATTATTTGCTATCACCACTTTTATGAGGTCACTCACAATAGCTTCAAAATGGAAACCACACTTGCTCTTGAAACCGGCAGTTCTGTGCTGATGCCTTCTCTTGCTTTCTGTCTTGGGAGTAGCCAGCAAGACAAGTTACAAGGATCCTCTTTGCAGTGTGTCACAGGGAACCATGAGAAGACAAGCCACAGGCCTGCCAGGAGAGGACAGTGTCTCTGTGCAAGAGGGGGCTGAGAAGCTGGTAGGGGGACAGAGTTCAGTGACTGCGGGGAGGGGTGTCCCCAAGTACACTGGGCTATAGAGAAAGAGCCCAAGAATGAACACTATGCTGCTCCTTGGATAAAAATAAAAAAGCAGGGTGGGGAGGGGCTTGAGCATATCTGCAGGGTTTTCTCTCTTAAAAATAGATCAGAAAGAAACAGTGCAAAATGTCAGCATTTGAAACTTCTGGGTGGGTGAGTTCAAGGTTACTGTTACACAATTGTTTCACACTGTGTTGGAAAAAAAGCTTTTTTAGATTAAAACATTTAAATGGGAGATATTCTATAAAATGCTTTTATTCTGGTAATGAAGAAGACAGCTAACATCTGGAAAGGACCCACAAGGGAGAAACCAAGGCACGGCATTTCACTTGTGGTGCATACTCTGAGGAAGGGGAGTCAGGCCTCCAGAGCCCACAGCCAGGCACCAGACTCTGTTACAACCACCACACTGCACTCACAGTCCTGGAGAGCATCTGGACATGGGTGTTGGGGTGGGTCTCTGCAGACTGAGCACGTGAGATGGAGCCTGCTGACTTACCTTTGACTCTAAGCTTCTATGTGCTACCTTGATCGCTTACAGGTGAACACACGGTACTATTTTTAAGTGACTTTTAAGAGTTAGCAAGAAGTTAACAAAATCCTGGAGCAGCAGGGGACCTCCTTCCTCAGGCTGAGAATCCATGTTCTAAAACCAGTGGCTTCCACTCCCTAGGCAGCTGCTGATGGCAACTCTGGCCCTGGAGGCCATTGGGTTTTGTTTTTGCTGGTCCTCCTGTCCCTGTCCTCATCCAGGGTGACCTTGTCTCCTGTGGCAGGTGGGCACATACCAGATGACCCATGTAATTGGTCCAGGGGTGACTAACTTCCCCAAGCCCGGTCAATCACAATTCCCTTACCAGGGTTTTGTCTCCCCAAAAATTCTTTCCTTCTGGTCCTAGAACCAGAATGTCAGTTGCTTTGGCCTGCTGACACAGGTGACTCAGGGACAAAAACTGTTTCATTCATACCGGATCCTGTCATCTCAAAGCTAGCTCCCACAATGCCTTGCCCACTTGGTGTGGTGGCAGTTATCTCCTCTGAGTTGGATTCTAGCCAAACAGAAACTCACAGCTTCCCATAAGGAAAACTCAGGGCTCATATCCTTCAGTGCTAGGGATCCTGAAGGCTAGGACCCAGCACTGCCACCTACCATGTGTGTCAAGCAGGTTCTTCACTTCTCTGAGCCTCAGACACCTTCCCAAGACTTCTACTGGACTTCCACTTCCTGCTTCCTCATAGTGATGCCCTGAGGATGGCACCAACCAGACCCAGGCACACCAGCAATCGGGAAAAGTAACACCATGAAAACAACAAATGCTCACTACCTTCAGAAGTACATGCTTACCAACCATGCTAAACTCAGGAGACAGGAGGGCAACATTTCCTTCTGGGTCAGACTCTTTCTAGACCCTCAAGAATAAAAGCCCCACTCCCTCCCAAGGCTTTCAGTGGATGCTACTAGAAAAGGATGTGAAACAGGCATGGGAGTGAATAGTGGCATTCACCTCCTGGGCAAATTCATTCATTCATTCATTCATTCATTCATTCATTCATTCATTCATTCACACAGCCTGCTACTTTCTCTGAATGTCATGGTTTCTAGGTGCCTCTCGATCCCCACTCTTCATGTATAGAGGTACAGTGGTAGCTCAGTGCTGGTCTGGGTTCTACTGCCCCTCAGCCTTTGCCCCGGTGTTGGCAGCCATCTTTGTTCAGCTCTCCTTAAATTATTAAACCTGGGAGTGTAACCTCATTTATGTAGGGGATGCTGCCCAGTGTCTCAGCTGCCACCCCCATTCCATCCTAAGTCTCTATACCCTAGCAGGTCTCTCCAAAACTGCAGACCTGAGACCCAAGGAAGTAAGACGGAGGCGGCTGCTTTCGTCTGATGGACAGGCAGCCTTTCCAGGAAACACATGGGGGTCCATCTGGGTTGCAGGAGCTTCCACAGAGCAGGGCAGTGATTTCTGCACACCAGCAAAGATACCTGAGAGTGTATTTAGAGAAAGATACAGAGACACGGACAGGCAGCAGCTACCTATAGCTACAAAGGCTCTCTCTAGCAAGAGAGCCACAAACTGGTTGTTGATGGCGAACTCAGGTTTCACACCCTCCGTCACACCATGGTGCCATCTTGGGAAACCACGTCTCTTTATGTGGCTGCTTCTCTCTAGAGTAGTTTCCAAACTGAGACAACTGGCTACAAGGACAATCCTTAAACACAGGTGCATCCTTCAAAAGCCAAGGCGGGGGTGGGGGGGGCACAGGAAGAGAGAGGGCGCTTCCACACTGTGCATGGCAAAGGAAAACAAAAGCACAGGGCTGGCTTGGGCCAAGGGCTAGGTCCCTTTGGAAAGGGGAGGCAGTAACTCCGGGAAACACAGCTAAGGTGTCTAGGTTGAGGCGTGAGAACACGAGGGGAGGGAGGGCGCAATGGCAGTCCACCGAGATCCCCTGTAGTGTGTTACAATCAATTAAGGGCGAAGTTGAACCAGAATGACACTGAGAGGTAGCAGCTGTTGTCCTCTGGAGCTCTTGAGGGCCTCTGAAGCTCGGCCAGGCAAGGCTGCTCTCCCGGAAGAGCTGGAGAGGGGAGTTGGGCCGAGGGCTCCTGGGGTTTGGGAAGAGCTGTGTGGAACAGCTGGGGTGGCCCAAGGACCCTTCCAAACCCAGAGTCACTTCTTGGGTGAGTTACAGGATTTCCCCACAACGTATAAATAAAAGTTTACTTCTGTGTTTCCATATGTCTTCTACATGAAGGCTGGCTAAATATTAGTGGAGTAACAATAATTATTAATAACAATAATTGCCATAATAACAATAATTAATAGACTAATAATGCCTTAGGGTGTGGGCGGGTCCTTTCTGTGGCAGCCTAGGGCTGGTAGAAGTGGTGGTAGTGGTGGTGGTGTTCGTGGTGGTGGTGATGCTCATGTCTCTGCACGGCCTGGCCAGCCTGGCTTTCATACACCACCACAGCAGGCAGCTCCCTCACCTGCTCCCGCCCCAGGACGGCGGAGCCTCCTGCAGCCAGCGGAGCCTGCAGGCCCCGGCAGCTTGCCTGGCTCTCCTTGGCTCGATGCTTGTGCTTCTTGTGGCCCAGGGGTGCCAGGGTGGGGAGGAGGGCTGGGCCGGTGGGCAGGTGGGCAGAGGGGGACACAGTGTGGGTGGTGGGCACCAGTGGGGGCTTGCTTCTTGCACCTCTGGCCACGTGGCCCACACCCATGTTCTTGCCCTGGGCCTTGGGGGACCTCACAAAGTGCTTGCTCCCGTCCTGAGTGCCCCGGAGCCGTTGCTGGAGCTCTGATGCCTTGGCAAATGGGGTGTCAAGAAGGTGGAAGGAGCCCGGGTCCACACCTTGGGACCTCCGGTGTGGGATGTGGGCGGCTTCCGGCTCGTGGGAGCGAGAGCGAGTTGGGTTGGAGATTCGAGGGGGCAGCTCTGACTTCTGGGCCACCGAAGGGGAGCCTAGGAACATATTCAACAGATACTTCATGAGCACCCACTGTGTGCACTGGGCTACCCTGGGTTACCAGGTACCATCACCTCTTAGTCTAGCTACCAGCCCTCTCATGCCCTCTGCAGCCCTGCAGGGAGAGAAACATTCCCATCTGCTGAGAGGGGAGGAGAGAGAAGGAAGGGGTTAGAGGATGTGGGCCGAGCATCCTAAGTGGATACAGGGAAATGCAGGGTGAACTCAGAGAGAACTCGACAGTAAGAGGAAGCAGGACTGGAACAAGGGCAAGGGGCACAGATGCTGGCAGAGCAGCACTTTCCTGGACCAATCAGCCACCAGGGCTGTGGCTGATGTGGGGCCAGGGCTGTGATGGCCTGGGTGGGGCTACTGCTTTTGCTGGATTCTCGGCTCTCTCTTTCTCTTGGATTTTGCCCAGCTCTGTACAAGTAATACTTTGATTCTGAAAATGTCTTTAGTTAGCGTTTAGTCCTCTGAGAGGAGTCTCTGACCTGCCCAGTAAAAAAGTTACATATTGCCCAGTCCCCAGGGATCAGTGGCCACCACCTAGCACTGTGATTCCGGATTACACCCCACACAGCCGCCCCTTACCGGGTCCAAACTGAGATGTGTAGTTCTCTATCCCCGCCAGGTCTAGGTAGTGGTTTCTCCTCTCGATGTTCTCATCCACGCAATGGTGGTAGCAGTCTGGCTGCTCCAGGTGGCTGTCACCCTGGAACCTTTGACAAAAAGGACATGATGTAGGAAGGCACAGACCCTGAAGTCTGCTGGGAAGCCATCGGGCCAAACAAACAGGCAGCTCATCACTCCTCTTCTGTGACTTGGGAGAAGGGGGGTCTGAGGTAGAAACCTCAGTCTGTGCCTTCATTTCCCCAATGCCCACTGTAATCTGCCTCACCATCACAAGTTCTGTTCAAGGCACCCCAGCCCCGCCCACCTCCAGCCAGCCTGGAGCCTGCAATCCAGCCCACTGCCTGCCTAGCAGTGTCCTAGCATGGTCTGTCTTATCCATGTTCACAGGAAGGACTAGTCATTCTCCAGCCATGCCTTCTTTGGTATAGATGTTGAAGATCCCCCCACTTGCCTGCTGCCCTGATGCTGCTGTTAGGTGCTTTCCTTTAAACAGCCCCCTTCCCTCTGTTTATGCAGAAGTGACAGCAGGACCGATGACTGCAGCAGGACAGATGACTGCAGTCTATAAGCCCTTACAGTTCTGAGAGCAAGAAGCCTGCAAATGAAGGTTTCTCATAGCCCACTGAACAGCCAGGCCATCTTAAGGGACAGGAGGCTTGGGATTCTGTCCACTGCTGTGAAGGCACATATTGCCCAGTAGAAATCCCAGTGTTTTAGACTCCCCAAGGTGCTACCCTAATCCCATCTACGGTGGATAATACATCAGGAACACCCAATACATGCTGAATCCAAACCACATGGAGAAAATCTAAAGAATTTTTATATGGATACAGCGATGAGCTATATCTAGGGTTTTGTTTTGTCCTGTTTTGTTTGTAAATTTAGAGTCTGATTTGTAAATCTGTGCTTTCTGAAATAAATTTATGGCCCCTGTGGAGAACCTAGGATAGAACCTGCCCCTCGAAGTCCTTCAGATGTATGTATCCAGCTGGCACTCAATACATGCTCATGGGCATGAGGCATGTCATACCTGAGCGGGGCTCGCTGCTTCTTCTCCCAGCCACGCAGCTCCTCAGCAGGTTTGGTGTCTGCTCGGGGCCTTGTGCTCTGCAGATCTGAGTCCCAGAAGCCCAAGAGAAACTCGTCAGTGCCTACTCCAGCTCTGCCAGGGCTTTCTGGCATCGTGTCCTCAAAAAACACTCAAAGTCGTTAACTATAGCGCTGCAGCAGGATTGCCCAGTGAAGACCAAACTAGCTGCCTGTCCCACTCACCTCTCCAGATTCATAAACTGCCCTCCAAAACCTGGCCTGCATCCTCTCCAGTCTCAACTCTATGCCTTTGCTTACACTGGGCCTTCCATCTGTGATTCCCTCCCTGTCCCTCCCCAGAGGCCTATTCCTTCAAGAGCCTGTTGAAGCCCTGCTGTACACCAAGCATCTGTCCATGGTACCTGGGTCTCTTCCTTCCCTCCCAGGCTGACTTGGGTCCTCCCCATCTTTCCCATATTGGGCACCGTTGTGTCACTCTCACCGGTTTGGTTGAAAAGGACACTCCTCTTGCTCTGGCTCCCATCAGGGGCCACGGTGAGCTTCACCCGCAGTGTCTTGCTTGATGTAGGTGAATGGTTCACAGAAGAGTCAACCACCTCATAGATGGTGTGCAGCAAGCTGGTAATGTCCTGTTTGGGAGGAAGCAGACAGCCCCATAGACTTTAGCCACAATGCCCTGCCACCAGCAACCTGAGAGCTGGTGACCGTTGCCGTGCTGAAGGCCCCAGATCCTTCAAAGAGAGCTGAAGGCAAGATGGTGGGCATGGGACAAAAGCCCCAGGAAGAAGGAATGAAGAGCAGAGGGCAAAGGAAGGAAAGTCACAAATTCAGGGTGGCTTGTGAACCCCTGGGCCCATAACAGGAAAGCTGTGCGGAACCTCCCTGAATAGCCTTGTCCAGGTAGGGGAAGAGTTTATAAACCAGCTCTCAACCTTCCTAGGTGAGAGGCTCCCAGCGACGCTATATACCTGTGTTCTTAGAGCGAGAAACAGAAATGTGATTGTGTCCTTACACTTGACTGGACTATGCCCTTGCCTGTCCCTCTGCAGGCATCCGCACAGACACCATGGCGGGATTCAGTAAGTGATGGAGAGGAGGAAGTGCTGGTGGTGACAGAGGAGGGGTGTGTGGGGACAGGCACTGCTGTTCTGTGGCTCCTGGAGCCCACTTGCTCTCTCCCTGTGAGAAGCCAGCTGTCCACAGACAGGAAGGGAGATCTCACCAGAACCATGCGGGCTGATGCCTCAGCCCTTAGCTCCAGACTCCAGGATGTGAGGAGGTCACTTTCTATTGTTGAAGCCACTCCACCTTGGCTGTGTGAAGTAAGAGTCACTGAAGACAAACTAGTCTGTGAGAAACCTGACCAAATATGTCTGGGCCTGTTACCTATTAAACCGGAATGGGGACTCCAGCAGTGTTTCATGAGGAGTCTCAGAGACTTCTGACTGGGGTAGAGGACACAGGCATCCCTTACTAGGACTTCTGTGCTCTGGGTATCTCTCTGTGGTCAGCTGTCTGAGGGCCAGCCACTTCCTTTAAAAAACACTATCCCTAGGCACACTTACAGTTATCTTGGTCAGCAATTCTTCATGAACTCTGACATGCTTGGCCCCTCCTCTACCTTCCCTCAGCTGAGGCAGACATGTCATAGCCAGGCAGGTGTGTGATGGCTAAGAGACCTGTAGGGTCTACGCCGGGGGATAGGTCCCCGTGAAACATGGTGGACATTTCACTAGGCTAACTCTACAGAATAAAGCCACTCAGGGTACCCAGAAAGCCAGTCTTCTGAGAAATATTCCAAATCATCAATGCTGACAACTAATTTAGGTTTTAGCAAAAGCCTCTAAAAGACCAGACAGGAAGCTGTGGAGACAGATTGTGGAGGGCAGCAGTTTGAGACGCAGCCTCTAGCTGTTTACTCCTGCTCACTGAGCTGTCTCGGGTCCTCCTGGTGAGACCATACAGGACTCCTTTTCTCCCTGTCCTCCCCATGACTCCCTGCAGAACCATACCACCCATTCTCAGAACTGCACCTTCTTCAGGAGATTATGGTGACATTATCATGATGGAGGTGACAAACAAGGAAACCGAAGGCCGCTGCCAACATTCTTCAAGTGTTGTATGGCTCAGAAGCTGAAGAAGCAGCTTTGCTGCCATCTTAAAAACCAGGGTCTGGCACAGAAATGGGGGCTGCTACAGTTTGTTTCTAAACCAATATAATAAAGATATGATCTTGGAGTGGTCTATTGGGAGCTGGCAGAGCTTTTAGGTAATACGCTTTGAAAGGCCCTTGTGGTGGGCCTTCAGGTCCCTGGAGGCATGTTCCCAAAGGGGACTGTGGGACCTGGTCTTCTCTTCCTTCTGGCCTCATTTCCAGGCCCTGAGGTGAGTAATTTTGCTTTGTCATGCCCACCTGCCAGATTATGCTGACTTGCCATGGCCGAAACAACAGAACTGACTGGACTGATCACGAACTGGAGTGAGCCTGTTCTCTCTGTAGGTTGAGTAGCTCAGTATTTGCTACAGTGACAGGAAGCTGACACAGGTGATCACAACTGCTTCCTATGTGACTGAGAGCCCAGGTTTATAAGATCAGACCTGGAGGATTAGCTCAGACACAGGCTCCAGGCAGCAGATGCAGTAAGGTAGGATCTGTTTGCCTGAGCGCACCAAAATACGTGTACTCACACTACGAGGAAGAGAGGGAGAGGTTGGTACAGAGGAAGAGAGGGAGAGGTTGGTACAGCAGGTTTAAAAAAGGACTTTTGTGGACAGGGATGAGGTGATCCACAAGGCAAGGTCCTTAACCAGTATCTCAGCTCTTCAGAAAGAAAACACAAGGTTTGCTTCAGGCCACACTGACCCACCTCGCGTGGACAGCCTCCCTTCCCTGTGGCTCCTGCCTCTCACCTCTAAGGACACAAGGGGCAAACCAGAAATGAGTGTCTGTCCATGTCTCGGCTTGCAAGGACTTTGCAGTAGAAGATACACAGAGGAGGCCCCCACGCATCTCTAAATAGAGAAGCAAGGAAGAGGGCGGCCATCAAGGGCTGGCCATCTTCATCGTGGCATGTGTGAAAAAGATGCCATGTGGTCCCATATGGGAAGCCAAATGAGACTTGGCTCTGGGCCATGTATGGAAATTCTGAATGGGAGGGAATCCTGAGAGGGAGGGATCCAGGCTAGAGCGGACAGTGCCATCAAGAGTCTTCACAGTAAGAAGAGACTGGAGACGGAACATCCATGTTCTGGTCCTGCACATACGGAGCCTCTGGACTCAGCTATACTTCAGCATACTGGAAGTAAACCTCCCAGAACTGAAGTTCAGGGATGCATGAGCCAACTCACTGCTCTTGTTACCTACGACAGGATGTTGGGCCACAAGAGGACACAAAGCCCCCCACCTGGTCTTCTAACGCCACACAGGTGCCAAACACCATCTCTAACAGGCCTCGCCCCACAAAGCAGGCCTCCCGGAGAGGCAGAGGGAAGGAGCTGAGCCTGATTCCTGGCACCTGGAATAGAATCTGGGTTTCTTGCAGGGCCTTAAAGACCCACTCTATCTATTCTGCAAAGGGGCCACAGGCCAGGGGATCAGCTGCGCAGGCGCCCTCCCAGGGCAGCATGTCACCTGGATAAGGTCAGCTTAGCATGGGCTGCCCCTCTAAGAAGCTGCTTCCAGCTCCACGGCTCCTTCCGTTCCTTTGGTGTTTTCTGCCTCATTGGGTTGTCAGAGCAACACATGGAGAACTGACACTCTCCTCCCTGCTGAGTGAGTGCTCAGCCTGGTGCTCAATTGGCAGAGACAGAGGCATGGAGAGGGTGAGAGGATCTTGGGATGAGTTGTAGGAGGATCCTGAATGGGGAGGGGGGCCTGGGACCAGCCACAGTCACTGTTTGCTCCTGTTCTGTGTGGCCTTGGGGACTCACTAAGGCAGCCAAGGGTGGCTTCTAGAGCTTAGGGGCGGCATGAGAAAGGAGGCAGGGAGAGACAGTTGGAACCTGGAGTTCCTCTCTGGAAGGCCTTGGACTTTGCCACCATCTCCCACCTCTCCCCAGAGGGGTATACCCAGTGACAAACTGTGTGAGATGCCAGGACACTCCCAGCAACCTTTCACCACAAGTCCTTCCCTAGCTCTGCCCCCGCCAGGCAGGGTGAGGGGACAGCAGACTCAGGCTAAGTCCAAGCCCTGTGCCTGAGGGCTGAAGCAAGAAGCACACTTACCTCACGGGTGACTTTGCCATTGTTGTCGAAGTCATACAGAGTAAAAGTCCACTCTTGCCGGCTGTCTTCCTCCACAGAAACATCACACTGCAGCTCCTGGACAAACAGACATGTGTCTTGTTTAACTATCAACTAGAGCATCACCATGGGCCCAATGGTAAGGCCATGGGCACCCCTGGCTATCCCCTGACCCTGGTAAAGGGAGAAGGACAGTGACTAAGACATGAGCAGCCAGGGAAAGATGCTAGAGCCTGGGCACAGCATACAGGTCCCAGGGCACCAGTAATCTCTAGTGTTCAAAGGACAAAGGAGACACATAGACTCAGACAGGAGACTGGTCTCATGAGGCAAGCTTCAACCACGGGTGAGAAGCTTTTGGAAAGCAACAGGGACTAATGACTTGGGACAGCAGGCAAGATGTCAGGACAGGCAACTGAACTGGGCAGCAGCAGGCAGGACATGAAGAGGTGAAACTCCGGAGTCTGTCCAGACTCCTCCTGGGATGTGTTTCTGATGCTTCATTTTCCTCTCATATAAGTGACAGAAAATGATTGTATCTATCCTCTGTCCCATAAAGCTGTCAGAATAATTAAGTCCTTTGCCATATGGTTCTTCATCAGCTCAGAGTTCCCAGGTCCCCTGAAGTTATAAGGGACAGTCCCCAAACTCCTACCTCAAGTATCCTGCTTCTCTGCCAAGGGCAGCCCTACAGGGCCAGGCATCAAGGACTCAGAGGTGACCCAAACAATGGAATGACACCCATGCCCCAGCTCACAGAGCATGGAGACAGGCCTGACCACCATGAGGGAAGATAGCTGCTGACTGTAGTGTGCATGGCAGACAAGGTGTCCCTGCTTGCAGCTGCTGCAGCCTGAAGCTGGTTCCCTCCAGTTCTTAGGTGGACCATGCTGAGTTCAAAGCCAGCCTTCCCCCATCTATGACATGCTAATCTGACACCTGCCAAGTGCCCACCCCTCCTGAGAAGTATTTGATGTGGTACAACACATATCACACACACACACACACACACACACACACACACACACACACACCACACACCCCTGTACATATATATCACACACACTGCATTGGCTAGCTATGTCTCTTGTCTGTCTTTAACCACACTGCTCAAAATTCAAGGGCAGGAACCAGGAACCATACTCATTTTATTGTTGTTCTCCTGGCAAGCAACAGGGTTCCATTAGCACTGGGGAAAAGAAAGGAGCCCCAGCTACACCAAGCAAGGCAACCCACTGTATACTGTAGAATGGGAGTACCAAATGATCCCAGAACCCCCAGCAAATACCCACAGTCCAGGGAGGGCTGAAACGTGAACGGACTTGGCCTGAATTCACAGCTTTGTGCCAACAGCAGAGCTGTGCCCTACTGTGGTCTCTGAAGGGGGGGGGCAGGGAAGGCGTGAAGCAGTGAGGGTGAGGGATGCCAGCATCCTCCACTGCCCTAGACCTCACTCTGAGCCCCCTCACCCTGGGCCTTGTGCCTGCAATCCACTGCTGGGGTCTGAGACAAGCGGGAGGATGAGCTATATGCTCTGGGAGGGCCCAGCCCTTGTGTTGACCATGTGGTTTGGAAATGGAGGCCCAGAGAGAACTGGGGGCCTGCCCAGGGCTCCTTCCTGTCTTAGCTTCTTACACACCATAGGAGACCCCTATAGGTCCCAGGTCAGCCTCTGGGGGTGAAAGGGAAGACTTGAGGACTCTGAAGATCCCATAAGAAGGTAACAAGTCCAAGGATGAGAGTCCTATCTCCCTACATGTGCTCACACCTTGTCCTGGTGGTATGTATTGGCCACCACTCATGTAGAGAGGCTGCAGCTGAAGTGTCATGACCCAGGGGCAGCAGGAAGGATCTCTCCCAGAAGCAATTATCCACATAAGAGGTGACAGCTCCTTCCATTCAGATGGGCCTCAGTTTCCCCTTCTAGAGCACCACTGTAAAGTCACAGCCCTCGGAAGGAAACTCACTTCAAACTTGAGCTGCTTCTTGGAGGCCTGGCCGGGTTCGCTCAGTTTCTCCATTCTCTTCTCATCTCCGCTGCCCAGGCTGTCGGTCTTCTCAGGTGGTAGGGCCACTGCGGGGAGGCACAGGCAGAGGTGAGCAAGTCAGGATCAGGTGGCTGTGCTGTCCTCAGGCCAGGAGCGAGCGCTGGGCCCTCCTGCCCTGCCTATTGGCCGTGCTCCACAGCGTTCTGTTCTTTGGCCCTGGTGATGCCACAGGCTGCCCCGAGAAAGCCTTTGTGGTGCAGTCCTACCAGTTACTCAGGTTTCTCTGTAGCCTCTCAGACTCCTGCTCAGCCCCAGGTTTACAGGCTGGATAAGCAGCCTATAGGCAGATTCAGTACCTTGTAGAGACAACCAACCACACAGTAGGGTAGGGCACGGAGAAGGGGGTCCAGGGACCAGAGCCTTCTGTATTCACTGCCTCCTATACTGACACCGTGGCACCCTCAAAGATACGGATGCACTCAGAGGGAAGAGCAGAGGGAGGACTGAATTAAGAGTTGGAGGATGGGTTTATGTGCATATGCTGAAAAGACACTGGCCTCTTCAGGGATTGCACTCACCCTGACACTTGCCCTTGACCTCCGCTCACCTGGAGTTCTCCCCTCTGCCAAAGGACATGGTCTTCTGAGTGGCTGCCTTTCAGGAGCAGAGTAGACATATGAAGTGTGTGGCCTACTGGTATCACTCTTCCTGTGTCTAAAAGGGGCCAGCCTGGTAGACCCATCATCCTAGACCCAGAACCCAGGTAATAGGTTCCACCATGTACAAAATGTCCCAGAGGAATCTTTGACTCTTTCTATGTGACACAAAAAAGCTCCACTGTACTTTTCTAGAAGACGTCCCCACCTCTGCCCTCCTCAAGTGCCTCCCCACCCCCGTACAGTGACTTTGTTGTTCTACTGTAGGGAAACGAATGGAGGAGAGCCCTGACCTAAGGGCTGGGAGGCCTGGAGGACTGTGAGGGGACCTGAGATAGTTCAACCAGACTGAGAGTTCCAACTGAATTTTCTCGGGATGACAGGATCCTGGTGACAAGAGGCACAGACAGGACAGTGAGGCTCTGTCCCCACCTCACTCAATCCACACACCCCAGTGTTGTGATGAGCACCCAAGAGCAACGGCTGGGGTGGGGGGTTCATATTCTCCAGGTCAGACCTCTCTTCATGGCAGTATTTGTAGCAGTCCATATGGAACTAGTGTTCACAGCATGGGCAATGGGCTTGCATAGTACTGCGCCCCGCAGCCCTCAGCACTGGCTATTCATGAACTGTGTCTCCGCTTGGACCTTTTGACACAGTCACTATCATTAGCTCCATTTTCTAGATGGAAAAATCAAGGCACAGGAATACTTCAGGTTCCCAGAGACTTTAGCAGCTACAGATGGACCTGGGGCAGTGGTCCATTCCCCAGGGAGCCTCTTTCTTCTGTCTCTTCCTGCCTCAGCACAGCCAACACCCACAAGGGCCTCCACCCCATACTCCAGAGAGGCCACAGCTCCCTGATGTCATCAAGAGTGCTGACTGTGGAATGGTCTGTTATTGCAAAGTAAAGCCGAAGGAGCATAAAAGCAGAAAGGCCACCTCCTCAGAAGGCTCCCGGGGACCCGCACCCTTACTGTCAGGGAGGCTCCTATCCCCAAGTACTTTGTATTCCATCTCTAACTGTCCCATTCTGACACCCTCCTCCAGCTGAATCTGAATCCAGGAAGGCCAGGCTAGTAACTGGCCTGGGACCCAAAGACAGTCAAACACTGACTACTAAATCTATTTAGTGCCCACTGAGCCACAGATGCTACCATGAGTCCAGACAGGACACAAGGTATGGCTTTGCTGTTCAGGCCCTGGGAAGAGGTGGCCCTCCTGCTACTCCTTGAACCAGGGAGCTCTGCTGAGGCCCTGGCTTTAGTTGTCACCAGTAGGTCCAGCAGACACAGCTGGACTGCACAAAAGCATCATGGGACAGAGTGGCACTTGGTACTCCTACTTTTCCAGCCCAGGCAGCTTTAAGAGTCTGTCTAGTGGAAGAGAGGCGGTATCGCCCTCACAGGGATAGGTTCTCAGTAGACAGCATCCTTGAGTGAGTTCCAGGACAGAGCTGTGAGGAGATGGTGGTCAGATCCTACAGTGGGTACTCAGCGAGTGCTCAATGAGTGTTGGCTGTCCCCCAGTCCCAGCTGGTAGCCCAGGCTGAACAATCTCCCTTGCCCCAATCTCCCTCTCTGTACGTACCATAGAGACATCACAGTCTGCAGACGCCTCCCCTCCCCCTCCCAGAGAGAGAAGAGGAAGCAGACAGCAAAACAAAGCCTAGTTCCATCTTCAAAGCCACTGCCTGGCTCTGCAGAGGTCCTGCTGATGCAAGCTGGCCAGGCTTATCGAAACCCGACTTCAAGTTCAAAGGGAAGTTATCAGACAAGCACCTCCAGGTTCAATGTTCCCTTTCATGTTCCACTTGATAAGCCCAAAGACAAGGAACCGCTATTCCGTGCTCTCCTCTGGAGCACTCTTGCTGCCATGCTACAGAGTGTGTCTTCCTTCGGATCCTCCCCCGCCCCTTCCTTTCTCCTCACCTGAGGTGGAAAGCACCCCTCTTTTATCCTCGAGTTTCCTCTCTAGAGAACTGAGTGGCTTAGACTGTCCTCTCTTCCCCAGCTGGTCCATCATGATGTCCTAGCTCATCAAGCCTCCAGGATACCGCTGGGTGGCCACGTTAGTGAATATTCAGAGCATCCCAGCCTGAACAGGGCAGAAATGCACAGTAGGCCTGGGAGACATGCTGCCAGGGTAAGACTCCTTGATACCTTGTGCCTTAACAAAGAAGACCTTTCACCCCTATTGTTCCCTGACCAAGTGTGGGAAGAGGCGGCAGAGGAGCCACAGAAAGCCATGTAGGCATGGGGTCAGAGGGAGGGCTAGGATTCTGGCAGCCGGCATGGGATTTGCAGATGACCCATCCAAACCAAACCAAGGAAAACTATATTGTAGCCTGGCAGCTGAGCAGAGCATCTCCACCTGGTTATGGTCACTGGCATCAGGGACGGGCAGCAAATGCTGCTCACTGCAGGGTCCCCAAGTCATATACCCAGGGATCAGAAGGGTACCATGCTGCCAAAGAGGACTCTGGTGGCTGAGTCTTCACTCTGCTTCCTGTCCCTGCTTAACCAGCTGCCAGTCTGAGACATCTTTCAAAGGCACTTGGAGCATACTCCAGCTGCCAGGGAGAACCACAGCACGGCACATTGCCAGGGTGACGGGAGAAAGGGAAGCACAGAAAAGGGAGCTGGGTAAGGAACACAGGAAGATGTTCTAATGCCCAAGAAGCATGTTTGGGTGATAGAGAAGAGGATGCCGAGTATGCCTTGTGAGCCACTGGGCCTGCAGCCTGGCCTTCCAAGTGAAGTTTAATGAGACATGTCACACGTACTAGTCCCTGGCTACTTCTTTTTTTTTTTTTTTTTTTTTCCCTGGCTACTTCTGCTGCACACAGGAGAGCTGAATCGAGTCATCACAGCTAGGACCTGTCTGGCCCTTTGTGTATTGCTTAAGTGAAGGCGGCCCTCCACTCCTTCCCAGGTATATGCTTGCTCGATAGGGCACAGCCCGGAACTTACTGTGACTTACTGTCCGGCTAACTGGAAACCCGGTACAGTGCCCAACCTGCTTAACCATCCATAGTGGTCACAGAAGGGAGAAAATGTCATGTCTACTTTCTTAAAATTGCTTCTTAGCCAAGAAGACGATGAGGGGCTGTGTTGTGGGACTCCTTCTCTTTGGAAGCTGTTCTCTCTCTGTCCGTCTCACACTGAGGCCATGGCCACCGGAGCTGGCTGGCTGATTTAGCAGAAGATTCTCTCTAAGCATCAGCTCCAGCCTGGCTGCACTCCACCCCCCAGCCACTGCCAGATTAAATGCATTACTTGACCATCTTCACCCGGCTCCCTTTGAAGTTCCCTTCTCAAGCTTCAAAATACCTTTTGGAGGGAGATCAGACAGCATTAAACAGAATTACTAATTAATTAAGCAAAGTTAAATTTTAAACACTGTTTGTTGTGTTAGCCAAAAGCCTGAACAGAACAGACTTCTTTCCTCCGCTGAGATCAAAGACAGCCTCTTTCCCTCTCCCCTCCCCCAGTTTAAAAAAGGGAAGAAGGAGGAGGAGGAGGAAGAGAAAGGGAAGAGACTTGGGAACCAGGGAAAGGTGGCAGCTGTGATCAGAGCCTGGACTCCCAAACCATCCCCAGGGCCAATAGGAGGCCCCTCTGGGATCACATGCTGGGAGAGGTCCCATCACTTTCTGGGGACTGTTTACCCTGGCAAACAGCAGTGACCTAGAGAGCAGCCTGGCACAGCCCACCCAGCCTGAGCGCTGACAGCTGGCGCCACCCAAACAGCAGGGGGAGAAGAGGGCTTGGAAGCCATGTGGGCCCTCCTTGTACAGCAGCTCCATTCTGAGCTGCATGGGCGCATGTTCACCTAGGCCTCTTGCCCTGTGGCTAGGGTCACTTGGGATCATCTGAAGTTACTGGGGGAGGCTTTGAAAAACACATTGCTCAGTTCTAGAAGTGTCACGCACGTGACACCAGAGATATGTGTAGAGCGTATTACTTCTGGCATTTCTCGGCGGATGACAGGCAGGTGTGGAAGGAGGAGTACTGAGCTGTGTCTCTTAATTGGTACAAATGCATCTGAGCTGGCAAGGCATGGTCTACCTCCATTCAATCTGGCAACTCATTCTGTACAGTCCCAGATGGGGCCCTCTGATGACCTCACAGCAGGCTCCATATCTGCACAGACAGAGCTCTAACTTTCTGGAGGCTGGTCCGTGCTAGCTGCTGCCCCCACACTGCCAGGGGGGCTGGCACATCTATTCATCTGTACAGAGGAGGGTTTTCATAAGCGTGAACCCAGCTGTGCCATGTCCTACAGACAAGTGTAGGTAAGCTAAGACAGACAGAGTCTGCCAATCCTGGCTTGAGCAACTTGGGGAACCTAGTGTAGAAGGAAACGGTTGAAATACACAGCAAAAATCCAAACTCAGGTTACAGCACCCAATGCTAGCTTATTTTAACACAACCCACAAGAGCCTAGTTAACAGCAAGCTTGGGTAAAAGCAGGAAGTTGAAAACCAGGTTATGACCGAGGCAGTAAAGATCCAGGCAAAGTGCAGAAATGACCATCAAGAGTGTGACACATGTCTTTTCTACCTGGATAGCCAGCAAATTTTCAAGTAGACACGATAGAAGACTGGGTATGAACTGGGGTTTCCGTGCTGAAGTTTGGACACCCGCCTTAACATGCCCCTGATCCCCTACAACTGTCCACACAGAGATATCTGTGACAAACATTCTGGTCTGAGGGTGGCTTGCCAGGATGTTTCTGGGCCTCTGAGCCTCCAGCAAGCAGCTGTCAGGGGGAATGCAGATGGATTTTAATATTAGCCTATGCCAAAAATAATTAGGAGGGTAAATCTGCGTCCTCGAGGAGAGAGATCGTGTGTGCATTCCAGGCCAAATGGTTTCTTGCATGATTGGCACAAGCCTCAGGAGGGAAAGCCTCCAGAGATGCACAGATGTGCCAGCCTGGCACTGCCGGTCAAGTTGGCAGGTACACATGTCGTCTCATTAAGTCCTTACTAACACAGTGTACAAGCGTCACCATTTGCATTTTACAACATCGGGAATGAAGTTTAAGATGCAAAATTGAAAGCTAGGCAAGGCTGCACACTCGTGTCATGCCAGCACTTAGGAGGCTATGACAGGACTGTGAACTTCAGACCTCCACCCCAAGCTCACCAGGCTATGGTACCAAGACTCTGTATAAAAAAAGAAAGAAAGAAAGAAAGAAAGAAAGAAAGAAAGAAAGAAAGAAAGAAAGAAGGAAAGAAAGAAAGAGAGGGAGAGAGAGAGGAGGGAAGGAGAGAGAGAGAAAGAAAGAAAGAAAAAGAAGAAAAAAGGTGTACTTTTCACAGCCTCTCCCTATCCCCGACATTATACTACAGTCAGATCTCACAAGCCTGGAGTTTTCCCGGTTATAAAAGCAAGAGCAGAATTTCTGCATAGAACCCCATGGCCCAGAAGCCATGCCTTGCCTGAGACAGCAGCGCACATTCCGCATTCATAGGGTGGAGAGCTTAGGGGTGGAGTTTCATGTCATTGTTCTAATTTAGAGGAGAGGGAAGTTGGGCCAAGTGATCCTCCCTGACAGAAAAGAGCCAGGGGTGTCACTATTGTGCCCTTTCATGGGTAGATGTTCCTGATGCTCCCCAAAATCCCATCTCAGACTTTCAGGGACAGAGGACAGAAAGAGATGGAGAGGGTGAGGGAACAAGGGCGTGCATGCATGCATCTGCTTGTATAGTGTGGCCAGCTACGTTCCTAGGTCCAGCCAGGCCTTTTTAGGCAATCCTATCCAGGGTATTTTCAGTTTTAAGAGCCTCAAGTTCAAGCAAGTTTGGTTGAACATCTGAAAGAGCCCAGAGCCCTGGATTAAGGTGTGTCTGCTGTGAGCGAGCCTCTGCTTTTCAGGGAACCACTACGACCTCCCTCCCAGCAGCAGTGATCTGGCCAGCAGAGCCCCCAAGCATTCTCGGCTCGCCTCCAAACGTGCATGCTGCCCTCCCACGCGCTGCCACCACTGGGCCCACATCCCAGGATTCTGCTTTAGAGACACTTGTGACTGAGAGGGAAAGGAGGCAAAGAGGAATCAAGGAAAAAAGACAACTGTCTACAAATAGTGTCTGGTCCTCACACTCTGGGACCTGAAGAGAACCAAGGGACACTGTGAGTGAAGGCAGGGACCCTGGACAAAGAGAGAACAGTAAGAGCCAGCTCTAGTGAATCCATTCTTCCCCATCCTTCCCCCATGTGAAAGGCCATGAAGGAGACTAGCTTTCTAACCTGGCCACTGGAGACACAGCTGAGCCGCCCTGGCAGATCAGAGCCACCACCTCCACTGTCTATGCTACACTTCCATGGAGAGCAGATGGGAAGACACCAAGTTAAGTTCACTCAGTGGAAATGGCTTAGAGGTGCTGGGGACTGAGGTATGACTGCTGAGCTTGCCGGGGAGCTCAAGCAGGGAGAGAAGCCAGGGCAGCTACCTGCTGCTCCTCAGAGGCCTCTTCAGACTTCAGGCACTGCCAGCTAGCCTTGCCAGTGGACTTGCCCTCGAGGAGTGAATGGAACTGCCTGAAGCCATTTCTTGAGAAGCCCTTGCCCTCCCACCTGTCCCTTAACTGCAGTCCCCAACAGCTGGGTGGCTTGACCACCTTGGCTTCTCCACTTGGTCAGCAGGTTTTCAACATGGCATCCTCAACCAAATGCCTTGTACCTGGAGTTTCTTCCCTTTTCTCAGGCTTGTCTTTCTCTTTAACCAGATACCAAGCTCCTGTGGGTTCTGTTTGCAAGGCCTGGAGGGGACCAGGCCCAATGAGAGGGGTCATATACTTCCGTAGCCTTGACAGCCTCATTAGGTGGGAAAGAAACAATGGCCTGCTAGGTTCTACAAAACTAGGTTTCTGCGCAGATGCCACGTGGGCGCTGGGGTCCCTGAGACAGACGTGAGCTGGGAGGCTGGCTCGGGTAGGGGCACTTGGGATAGGGGACACTCATCATAAGTCAGGCTGGCTTGGGAAGGGGTACTCAGGATAGGGGACACTCATCATAAGTCAGGCTGGTTTGGGTAGGGGCACTCTCAATAGGGGACACTTATCATAAGTCAGGGGAGCCTATGACAGACAGAGCTCCCTTGGGTGCATCATGGGCCTGCCTACCATGCCAGTACTGGTGTGCACTCAGGGCACAAGCCTCAGAAGTAAGTAAGAGGCTGGCCCTCCCATCCTTAGCTGCTGCTGGATCCCAGAAGGAAGGTCCCTCTCCTTTCCACACTCTGCCACACAGGCCTGCGGTCAGCTTGGAACCTCTGATATTTACTTTGTTCTTTCCCAAGTTCAAAAGGAGCTCCCAGCCCTGCACACCAAGCCAGCCTTAATCTCCTGCTTCACTCCCAGCTGGCCAGTTAAGGCGGCTAAGACTCGGGATTAGGGGCAGCTTTACAGAACAACCCAGGAGCCAAAGCCCTCCTCTCCTGGGATGGCCAGAGACTCCTTTTCATCTTCACGCCTCACAAGGCCCCTTCCCTCCCTTAAACAGCTCTCTAGCAGCCAAGAGGCAATAGTCTTGGCCAACAGAAAGACAAAGATGACATTCAGGGACCAGTTTTCTCCCCTGGCCAGGAGCATAGAGGGATGCCACAGCCTAGGTCCAGCAGGTGCATGGCCAGGGCTGAGAGGCATCTGCCCTTGGCAGCCTGCCATGTACAGCCATAACCCTGCCCTAGTGTGGGTGGGCTTGGGCACGGCACCGGGAATGACAGGAGAGCCCCAGGTAGGAACCGGATCAAGGGTCCTTCCAAGGGTCTCAAAGAACAGACATGGTTCTTTGCTCTCCTGGGCTGCTCAATGTTGGCAAGGTGCTCCTCCCATTGTGAGTAATGGGCAGCTGAAGCCCTCTCTATTGCTGGTCATAGTCATGGGAAGTCAGCTGAGCCGTGGGCAGCTGCAAAGCATCCACAGATGAGGGCACAGACACTGCCGGAAACAAACCAGCAGGCGAGAGGTCGGGTCCATGCCACTGTCCCTAGCTCTACAGCATGGAGTTTCTGCTGGAGAAAGGAGAGCTCTTACATAAGGGACCAGAGGAGAGAGGCCAGAGGCCAGTGGGGGACATTCATTCACTATCACTGACACCACCATAGGGGGTTAGCCCTGTGATGGCCTGCTTGAAGTCTGATAGCCCCTGAGCACAAGGTGTGGATGTAACCCTGAGTGCTGAGAAGGGTTTCACATGCCCTGCCTGGACCTTCTGGGTTCTATGGGCCTTTCCCCCCCAGTGCCACAGGCAGAGCTACTGAAGCCCACATACCTTCTAGGGGGAAGTCGTCCTCGTCCTCCTCACCGAGAGCCTCTCTAGAAGTGTCACCCACGAGTTCCTGGGGAAGACAGAGCAGCAGGTTACAAGACAGCAGGGACCCAGTAGGAATCTACCTGGCTAGACTGGACAGGTGACAGTGAGGACATAGGACCAAGCAGATGGGACGAGACCTACTCATAGTGCAAGTGTCTTCTCGGTGCACAGCACCCTGGGAAAAACTGCCCAGGACCTGCACCTCCTAGAGGCCAAGTCCACGCCCACATTGGAATGCCAGGTAAGACCAGAGTCCCTTGTTCCTCCTGTCCAGCCAACTCCACAGCCATAGACTCAGCAAGGCTCCAAAGACAGACCTCAGTCTAGATTCTTCCTCCGAACAAGGTGGGGGACTCTGCACTCTGTTCTCTGAAGATCCCTATTACTCTCAAGGCTAAACAGCCAATGCTCTGGGCCTGCATATGCTGCAGCCCCAGTGATCTTCACTAGGGCCTCCATATTTTGTCCACACCCCATCTTCCCAGACATTAATCTGATCTTGGCACATGCCTGGCCTGTCCCCTTGAGCTGGTGATTTTGGAACCAGCATGGCAGGGGGTCCTTCCTAGCAGCCTTGTCAAGTGGCCATTCAGATACTGTCATATTGGCAAAGGGAATTTTGCTGCCCTACAGGCTAGGAAAGGTCTCAGGTGTCAAGGGACTAAAGTTCCACCTATCCCGACTCACCCCAGCAGACTAGAGATACAGAAAGAATTAGACTGTAGCTTACAAAATGACTATTTTTTGGTACTCGGCCAAGAATTTTCAAACCTAAGATTATTTAGATAAAGTTCAATAAGACCTTTAATGTAAGACTTCCCCGGGCCTTCATTCTAGTCAGCAACACGTGAATCTCCATTGCTGTAGTAGGGCTCACATCCCAAGGACCACATTGCCAGCACTAGGAAAATGAAGAACTCAGGGATGGGCACACCATATTCTATCTCCTAATGTGGTTGGTACAACAATGCTCCTAAATCCCAGCAAATGGTAAGCGCTAAAAAGCCCAAACGCAGCAGCTGCTACCAAAGCCTCATTGTGACAACAAAACCTTTTGCTTTGGCAAAGCTTTCACAGAATACAAACCACCCAAACTCTGCACTTCAGATGCTTAAAGAACATCCAGGCTTGCCCTGACAAGGCGCAGAAAGGGATGCCGCATGTAGTGGGTTGCTCAATGGTTAGAACCACAGGGTGGCTTCCAGCCTTGACTTTTTAGAGACAAACAGCTCTCTGTTTGCATGGTGCTCTCTAGACCATTCTAGGTACTCCATTCCTTCTTCAAGGTGGTTGAAGAACGGCTGTTCCTGCCCTGGTGTCCTATTTACTAAAACCCAGGTGACTTTCTTCACACCCCTTCTTGCCAATTATCATAATCACTGAACACTTCCCAGGCTTGTAACCTGGCTGTTTGTGTTAACAGGACCAGCGTTGACAGGGAATCTGCAGACAGTGACAGGAAAGGGACACACACAGGTGGCATCATCAGATGGCAGGGACGCCCCAGCAGCCAATTAAAGTCCAACTTTCATGCCACAGAGACTGCTGCCATCTCTTCAGTCCCAAACTGCTGGCAGGCAGTGCTTGTGACAGGAGCAGGCGGCAGGTTTTAAGGGGACAAAGGCCCTTCATGCTGGGTCCTCTAGGAGAGAGTGGGCTCAGCACTGACCTCAGTAGCCCTGATAGCACCATAGCAAGGATACTGACAATGACGAGCCTTTGAGGTCCTGTGACTTTCTACTGGTGTTACTGCTGTATCACCCCAACAGAGCAGCCAAGGAAGCCATGTACTGATGCTGCACACCTGCCAGCATGACTGTGAATGACAGATCCAGCAAACCCACAGAGGACTGAGCTCACACAAAGTATATGCCCCCTTAACACACTGTGGTGCTTCCCTGGGCCACTCCAGGGTCTTAGTATAGAGTGTTCATAGTCTCTAGACCCAGGGAAATGTGGCATTGTGAACCAACCCAGGGTTATGCCCTGGCTTCTGGGCTCTCCTAGCATTTGGACTGTGGTGGACTTATCTGTACAATGGCCCCCAGCATAAACCACATGATGGTAAGACAGCTAACACTGGACACTCCCTGAACAGCAGGCAGTGGGGACGTGTGTTAAATAACCTCCTCTGGCCATCACAATAGTCCTGCTTTGTCTGTCTCTCAAGAAATGGATGATTTTCACATATCACGAAGGATGTGTGAGCACATGTGTATGTGTGTGTCATCATGTGTGTGGCGATAGGAGAGCAAACAAGGATGCTGACAGCAACACTTGTGCAACACATCCAGCATGTGCAAGGCCCGGGATCTTACCCACAGCACAGCAAAAAGGGAAGGGATTGGATGAGGAGGAGAGAGGAGGGGAACAGAGCTCTCTCTACTGTAAGTTTGAGACCAGCCTGGGCTACACCTTGTCTCAAAACACACAAAAAAGCAAACAGATGCATGACACAGGACCTGGCCAACAGCTCTGGTGGGTTAGAGGCCAAGTGCTCCAATCTACCCAGTGGGACTCAGAACAGCATAGCTCCTTGCTCTCTGTGGTATGGGGCTTGGTCCAGGCTCCAGCCTGGCCATAAGCCTGGTCCACACAGCCACAGACTGGAAGCATCCTCCTGCAGGAAGGCTCATCGCTGTAAGGAGCCCCATGGGGGCTGCAGCACAGAGCATGGAAGTAGGATCGGGGGGCATGGGCGGTACAAACACGGCTCACTGCACAAGCTAAGCCTCTACCTCCCAAGGTGCCTTGGTTCCCCTCCACAGACAGGGTTGACAGCACAGTCTCAGGGTGACTCTGGGGAGCAAGGAAGTGCTCCGCCCCTATGCTGGAAGATCAATCAGCAGTCACTGTTCACTGCGTCCTCTGTGTTCATCATCAAACAGCTATGGGCAAATGCCTGACATGCTGGAACTGACCAACCCTAGCTGCCCTCTCATGACAACCACCATGTGGTATGCTGCTATTATATACCCACTTTATGGATGAGAAAACTAAGTCAGAGCAGTCTTGTGACTTGCCAATGTTACAGTTCTTACATACTAGAGAGTCCAACCCTTCCACTGCACCTCCTTAAGAGGCTTGAGTATGGCGCCTAGACAGAGAACTAACTAGTTCCTAAGATCCAGCACCTAGGCCCCTCTCCCCTGGCTTCCAGGACTGTGGGCCTCAGACTTACTCCAAATTCTAAGTCCAGAGGCCTGGCTTGTAGTCTGTCAGGACATATGGCCTACATGTGCCTCTAAAGTTGCAGTGCTGTCCCTCCGCTGCCCCCGGGAGCCCAGCCTCTACCCCTCACTGGGCCCCAGGAAGAGCAACTTCTCCGGTCACTGGTGTGCAGCCAGCCCAGCCCTGAGCTAAGCAACACAGGCACACTGCCTTATAAGGCCTCGGGGACGGAAAACCACATCAAAGTGGGGCCTTGGGGAGGGCTGGCGCGGGCTAGGGATTTTCCTCTTTGTCACTGGGTCTTCATACTCCTGAACTTGGTCTCCCCCACGCAAGGTCCCAGCAGGTCTCTGTCAATCTTTCTGTTCGTAAGAGGTAACAGATGTGGGTGCCACACACTTTCCAAGCAAACTCTTGGTGCCCACAGAACATGGCACCATATAGACTTCAGGAATGCACAGGACTGAGACATTCCAGGAAGAGAGGGTACAGCCCAGGCCACCCCAGAACCCTTAGATCTAAGCAGCCTGTCCCAGTTAGCCCCTAAAATGAATGCATGGCAAACTCTTTCTTCCATGAACTCTGCAGACTTAGCCCAGCCCCACTAATAGCAAGCCCCACCTTCTGTAGTCAGAGACAGGACAAAGCCAGTCCATGCTCCAATGCCCAGGTGGGCCCAGTTCGGGCTCCAGCCCCTTTCCACAGCTGAGTGGCCATAAAAGTATCATTAAACTGGTCTGCCTCTATTTTCCTCCTCTGTGAAATGGAGATTATTTTTATCTCAAAGAGGAGTCAGGGAAAATGTGGGGTCAAAACGTCCAGGCATTTTGTAGCATCTGTTACAAAATGATGTGACATCTTGTCAAGAGCCTAAATGTCAGTTTCTCGAATTCTTCTGCTACAGCCTTCCCTCGCAGGCGCTCTCAAATGTTCTCATGGTCTAGCCTGGTAACCAACCAGCTGGTGCCCAGCAACTCCCCCTCCTCTGAGAGCCCATCTAGTTCAGTAGCATCTGGGGCTAAGATATCCCCCAAAGGCCATCAAAAGATTTCATAGTGAGGCAGTAAACTCCTCTGCTTGCCACACAGAGTACATCCCCTGGGAGGAGTGAGGGAGCAATGCAGGGGACCGGACGCCACTACAGTGAACCTAGGAAACAGTGACTGCATAAGGGACCACAAGGCATCTAACAGGCCAAGAGTATATGGAACAGATACCCTGGTTACTCAATGGAAGGGGAAGGAGACAGAGTCTCAGTCAAAGCCCCAGCCTTATCAGAGTTCTTCTGGTACTCAAGGATGAGGGTAGTGGTTCCCTGGGCTCCACGAGTGCTGATTCCAAAGACTCCCAAGTCCCAGGACTCTGGAACCCCTTAGATAAGATAGCACAGTATCTGTACAGAGCCTAGACACCTCCCTCGGAGTCTTTAAGCCATCTCTAGATGACTTGGAGTTCCGACAAGTGCAGCTGTGTAAGCAGCTGTCACACTACTCTGTTTAGAGAATAACAGCCAAGAAAAGAGTCTGTACTTGTTCAATACAAAGGTTGTTTTTCCATGTGTATCTTCTATGGGATGAATGGGTGGGTGTGGAACCCACGGAAACAGGCCAGCTGCACATCCATGTGTCACCCCGGTAATGAAATCCTGACTTAACAAGACCTCGGGATGATCATCCTCTGCACAGAAGAGGGGCCTGGAGCTCAGACAGATGGAAAGAAGGGTCGAACAGGTCAGAGAAGGTGGCAGAAAAGGCTGAGATCGTCTGGGCCCAGATGAGGCTATGGTTTCCTAGTTCCAGGAAATCTGGGGGTTCCAGCTCCCAACATCATCAGCGGCTGCTTGCTCTTCTGTGG